ACTATAAAAATAATAATATAAATTCGGAAAAGTATTTAAATGCGGGGATATATACTTATCAATCAATTCAATACCAGGATACCGACTTCACCTTCCAAAATATTCAACAATAATCAAACTAGCAATAATCTCATAAAAATGATCAAATAAACAACAATAACTTAAGCAGGAATATCTTAATTAAATATGCAATTATTCACAATAAACAAAATCCACCTGCATGCTTTGACTCAACCACAACGTATAAGTACTCGTCACCTCACATATACGTTATACCCGCACATTTAATCACGTAGCAAATAGACAAATAAGTCTTACTCCCTCAAGTCAAGGTTAACCACGACACTTACCTCGATTTGCAACCAAATTCAAGATTCCAATAAGCATTTGCCTCGCGAATTCGTGTCTGAAATCCTCAAATCTAGTCATAAACAATTCAATATACTCAATACAGATCGTAGGATTTAATTCCATATAAAATTACTAAATTTCCGGATTAAAACCTGAAATTCATTTTAAAAATCGACAATGGGACCCACATCTCGAATCCCGGAAAAACTCATGAAAACCGAACACCTTTCCAATATGAGTTCAACAATATAAAAGTTATCGAATTCTGACATCGGATTGGCTTTCAAATCTTCATTTTAAATTTTTTGAAAGATTTTATAAAAATCACAATTTCTTCCATCTAAATCTGAAATAAACGATGAATATTGACATGGATTTATGAAATGTAATCTCTTTCGGATATAGAATACTTACCCAAGTCAAAATCGTGAAAAATCCCTTTGGAATCGCCTAAATCCGAGACTCAAGACTCAAAATTGGGTAAAAATGGTTAACTCCCATTTTTAGCACTTTGTACAGCATTTTTCGCATTTACGGACTTATTTTCGCACCTGCGGACACATATTTGCGAGACAAATCTCGCATTTGCGGAACAATGTAGTCTCTCCAGTGGCCGCATTTGCGCCCAGAAATGTCGCACATGCGACATCGCATAAGCGCTCCAGTGACCTCAAAAGCGGTCTGCCTCGCAGAAGCGGCTCGACCATCGCGGAAGCGGTTGCGCACCTGTGCTAATTTCTCCGCAGAAGCGGAGTTCGATAGGGCTGTCCCATGTCGCAGAAGCGACTGGAATTTCGCAGGAGCGACCATGCACCTGCGCACAGAATGTCGCAGGTGCGACGCACCAGAACCAACACTGGCCAGCAGGTTCCAATTGCTCTGTGGCTCGTCTGAAACTCTTCTGAGCCACTCGGGACCTCGTCTGAATATTCCAACAAGTCCAGAAATATAATACGGACTTACTCAGGGTTTCAACTCACGTCAAACAACACCAAAATTACAATTCACACCTCGATTCAGACTTATGAGTTTTAAATTTTTCAACTTACAAAACTTATGCCGAAACATGTTAAATGAATCCGGAGTGACTTCAAATTTGGCGCACAAGTCATAAATGACATAACAGAGCTACTCAAATTTCCAGAATCGGGTTCCAATCCCGATATCAATAAAGTCAAATTCGCGGTCAAACTTTGGAATCTATAAGCTTTCAAACTTCCAATTTTCAACAAATGGCGATAACTCAAGCTAGGGACCTCCAAAGTAAATTTCGGGCATACGCCCAAGTCCAAAATCACGATACGGACCTACCGGAACTGTCAAAATACTGATCTGGGTTCGTTTGCTCAAAATATTGACCAAAGTCAACTCAGTTGAGTTTTAAAGCTCTATTTCATATTTTAATCTATTTTTCACATAAAAACTTTCCGAAACATTATACGGACTGTGCACGTAAGTCGAAAAATGATGAATAGTGCATTTAGAGGTCTTAGAACACAGTAATGAATGTTTAAATTAAAGATGACATTTTGGGTCATCACATTCTCTACCTCTAAAACAAACGTTCGTCCTCGAACGGAATTAGAAAAATACCTGAGCTGGTGAAAAGATATGGATATATACTCTGCATGTCCTACTCGGACTCCCAAGTATATGCTTCTACGAGATGACCTCTTCATTACACCCGAATTGAAGGATAACTCTTAGACCTCAACTGTCGGACCAGACGGGCTAAAATAGCTACCGGCTCCTCTTCATAAGTCAAATCTTTGTCCAATTGGATTGAGCTGAAATCTAATACATGGGACGGATCACCATGATATTTCTAGAGTATAGACACATGAAACACCGGATGAACTGCTGATAAACTAGGTGGTAGTGCAAGTTGTAGGCTACTTCACTCACCCTTTCAAGAATTTCAAAGGGTCCAATATACCTAGAGCTCAACTTGCCCTTCTTTCCGAATCTCATTACACCTTTAATAGGTGAAACTCAGAGCAATACACTTTCTCCAACCATGAATGCAATATCATAAACTGTACGGTCGGCATAACTCTTTTGCCTAGACTGAGCTGTGCGAAGTCGATCCTGAATAATCTTGACCTTATCCAAGGCATCCTGTACCAAATCGGTACCCAACAACCGAGCCTCTCCCGGTTCAAACCAGCCAACTAGCGAACTACATCGCCTCATATATAATGCTTCATATAGAGCCATCTGAATGCTCGACTGATAGCTGTTATTATAGGCAAACTCCCCAAGTGGAAAGAACTGATCCCAAGATCCTCCAAAGTCTATAATACAAGCGCGAAACATATCTTCCAATATCTGAATAGTGTGCTCTGACTGTCCGTCTGTCTGTGGATGAAATGCTATACTCGACTCAACCCGCGTACCTAACTCACGATGTACATCCCTTCAGAAGTGCGAGGTGAAATGTGTACCTCGATCAGAAATAATAGACACGGGCACACCGTGAAGGTGTACAATATCGCGGATGTAAATCTCTGCTAACCGCTCTGAAGAATATGTAACTACTACTGGAATGAAATGTGCTGATTTGGTCAACATGTCCATAATGACCCATACTGTGTCAAATTTTCTCTGAGTCCGTGGGAGCCCAACAATAAAATCCATAGAGATACGCTCCCACTTCCACTCGGGAATTTCTAACTTCTGAAGCAAACCACCATATCTCTAATGCTCATACTTGACTTGCAGATAATTTAAACACCGAGCTACATACGCAACTATATCTTTCTTCATTCTCCTCCAAAAATAATATTGCCGCAAATCTTGATACATTTTGGCGGCACCTGGATGAATAGAATACATGAAACTGTGGGCCTCTTCCAGAATTAATTAATGAAGCCCATCCACATTAGGCACATAAATACGACCCTGCATCCACAGAACTCCATCTTCCCCTGCAGCAACATATTTGGCACCATCGTGTCGTACCGTGTCCTTAAGGACAAACAAATAAGGATCGTCATATTATCGCTCTCTGATACGCTCATACAAGGAAGATTGTGTGACTATGCAAGCTAGAATCCGGTTGGACTCTGAAACATCTAACCTCACGAAATGATTGGCCAAATTCTGAACATCTGCGGCTAACGGCCTCTCACTAACCGGAATATACGCAAGGCTGCCCATACTCACAGTCTTTCTACTCAAAGCATCGGCCACGCCTTTCCGGGGTGATACAAAATGGTGATATCATAGTCCTTCAACAGCTCCAACCATCTTCTCGGCCTCAAATTGAGATCTTTTTGCCTGAATAGATATTGTAGGCTATGATGATCGGTGGATACCTCACACGAGGCACCGTAAAGGTAATGCCTCTAAATCTTCAGTGCATGAACAATGGCTTCCAATTCTAAGTCATGAACAAGATAATTCTTCTCGTGAACTTTCAACTGTCGCGACGCATATGCAATCACCCTGCCATCTTGCATCAATACTGCACCAAACCCAATACGAGATGCATCACAAAACACCGTATAAGATCCTGAATATGTGGGTAATAACAATTATGGCGCCGAAGTTAAACTAGCTCACACTCGTCTGACCATCCGAATGAAACACCTTTCTGGGTCAGTCTGGTCAATGGGCTTGCTATAGATGAAAACCCTTCCACGAATTGGCGATAATAACCCACCAAAACAAGAAAACTCTATATCTCTGTAACTAAAATAGGCCTAGGCGTAGCAATGCTCCACTATTCATCCAATGAAACAGTGATTCGCTACTGTTAATCGCAGAAACGCTGGAATTTTGAGCTTCAATGGCCACAATGGCTGGCGGCCAGCCACCTTTTCTGGCTGGTCAGCCCTCTCCCTCCATCGCTCCAAAAAATACGACCATAGAATCCAATCCTCAGCCTTTAGATTTCTCAAAAATCCTGAAACCTTCAACTCTGAACAGTCCTATGTAGGAACGAGCCAATTCTGTTGAACCAATTGCACTTCGTCGAGCTAGTTTGCTTAATGGACAACCTTTTGTTAAGTTTACCGATGCAGAGGTGGATCGAATAAATGCGATTGAAGGATTGCAATATGCAGTAGTTTGTAAATTCTCATAAGGATGGACAGAGCTTAATAAACTATGCCGAATTGTCCCTCTTCAATGTGGAATCAAAGGCGAGTGTAATATTGGATATCTTCACGACAGACACGTATTAATTAGATTGATGTTATGGCAAGATTTTATTTATTTTACATCGAAGAGTGTATATTATGTGAAAGATAAGGCGGGTTATAAATATCAATTAAGAACGTTGATTTATGATGCAAAATTCAAAGTCGGGGAGGAAACATCAAAGGTAATGGCGTGGATTTCGTTTCCAAATTTGTTACCAACATTTTTCGTCAAAGAGTGTCTATTTTCCTTGGCGTCAGCTGTGGGTAAGCCTCTTCTTCTTGATATGGATACTATTAATAAAACGAGGCCTAGTTGTGCACGAGTGAAAGTCCTTGTTGATTTACTAGCTGACTTACCTAAGAATGAATATCGAGAATGAAGCAACTGGAGTTGTGAGGACTGAATGAGTAACCATTAAATATGAGTTTTTGCCCAAATACTGTAAAGAGTGTAAGTTACAGGCCCATGACATGATTGGGTGATGGAGGATTCATCCAGAACTAATGGATACTAACATTGCTGAGCAACAAGCTGTGAATGAAGTTACTAAACAAGATGAGCAGGCTTCTGTAGCAGCAAACTTAAATCAACATGGGCCTTTAATGATTTTGTCGAGCGGAAAAGTGGTAGGCAATGTGAATGTTAACGGTAAGGAATAATGGAAAAATGTGAGAGATAATCGTACTAAGAAGGATGTTATTCAGAAGGAAATTCAAGCAACTACTGGAAAATAAATAATTCCAGTTAATCAAGATGAAAGACAGCAGGTGCAAGTGGGAAACAAGTCTGCAGTTTTTGAAGTTGAGGAAGATGGGCATGTAAATACTACTGTGGTACAGAAGTAGATTCAAACTGCTAATAATGTTGTGGTAGTGCACAAAAGGGGGGAGATAATGAGGCCAACAATCAGTTGGTAGTAGTAGAAGATAGTAATAATCGAACTCATATACCTAGTCCAGTTACTATTGGGAAAACACTTAATGCAGCAGCACCAAAATTTAATCCTAAGTCTCCTGGGACTGGAGTGTCTAAGGAGGGTAATAATGGCAACTCGATCGACAAAGTTAAGGACACATTTGCAACAAATAAAGAGTCTACCTCACAATGGGTGCAAAGAAATTTTGGTGGTAATTTTAGTTGCTATCAAAACATCATGCAAGGAAATCCCATCTCAAGACTCACTCGATGCAAATACTTTGTTAAAAAGATTCTGGAAAAATTCAGTTGGGCGATGACAAGTTATGGAGTGATCAAATTGAGGAGGATTCAGAGAAGGGTGAACTACGGGGAGATGAGGAAGATAGTGATGATCAAGACATAGCTGAAGATGATCAACATGGAGAAGAGGAACAAAGTGTGAATAGACAAGATGTAAAAGCTGTGACAGCACGCAATGACAACCAGTAACTTCTTGAAGCTCCAACTGTACAAGAAAGTGAGAAACAAAAGTTGCAGATACAGAATTCCCCTGTAGCTACAGCTACTCCTAATAGGATTAATGACCAACCTAATGTGGAGAATAATTTGTTGAATGATCCTGGGGGTACTAGAGGAGATAAAAGTGGTATAGGTGATGAGCCAAACTCTACTGAGATTGAAAAACACGATATGAATGGGCAATAGAAAAAGGAGGAGGAGCTTATTGCAAACACTGTTCCATTGGATGTTGCGGGAAAAAAAAGGCAATGAAGAGAAAGCTAAAGTTGAAAAATCACCAATCCTCATTCCCATGAGAAATCAGCTGGCAGCTCAACAGAAGGATCATGGTAATAATGAGAATGTGGGAGGCAAATGGAGAGATATGGATGAAGAATCTACGGCACGGAACTTTATGAATGTGGCAAGGCAAGGTGATCTTTCACCTAGAGAAATTGAGAAAGGAAAATCTGCTGGGAGAGGAAAGAAGAAGCAATCCATAGAGAATCAAAGTGTAGTTCCATCAGGGATTCAAACAAGAATGACCCTATCTAAATCGCACAATCAATGATGAATGCTATAAATTGGAATGTGAGATCGGTGAATACAAAGAAAGCTTTTGAGAGGCTTGTCAATATGTAGAGGCAACATTATTTTCAATTCATAGGGATCATGGAACCAATGTAAAAATCAAGGTAGAAAGGTACAGAAGAAAGATTGGAATGCCACAAGCCTTCGTTAATGTCTCGAATAAAATTTGGGTGTTTGTAGATGAAGATCATGGAGTTGATATAATCATTGATATGGGACAACAATTGACCTTAAACTGACAAACATGGTTACCCAGAAGTCTTTCATTGTTACTTTTGTCTATGCAAAATGTGATTCTACTGAAAGAATTGAGCCGTGGGACAGTTTATATACAATTGCAAGGGACATGTCTCTTCCTTGTCTAGTCGGAGGAGATTTAATATTTTTTGGGATGAAGAAGAAATGTTTGGTGGTCTGCCCGAGTATATGAATGATGTTCTTGATTTTAGGCATTGTGTAAATACATGCAACTTATTTGATCTTGTATTTAAAGGGAGTATATACACTTGGTGGAATGGGCGAGGTGAAGATGACTGCATTTTTAAGCGACTCGATAGATGTTTAGCCAATGTAGAATTTCAACAGATATTCGCAATATAAGAGATTACTCATCTATCTAAGATAGGTTGAGACCACTGCCCGATGATGTTGAGTGTAAATGCCTCGACAGTGCCAATTAAGAAACCATTCAAATTTCTTAATTTCTGGACCAAGCATACATCTTCCAAAGCTATTGTAGCAGAGAACTGGATTGGTGATTTTCATGCTAACCCTTTCACTTTATTCAATCACAAGCTCAAAAAGGTGAAGAAGGCCCTTTCAATCTAGAGCAAGGATACATATGGAAACATCTTTCAAAAGATTTCTAGTTTGGAAGAGGTTGTCTTAGTCCACGAAGCACAGTTTGCATTGAATCCTTCTTTTCAGAATAGAGAAAGGCTTATGAAAGTTCAAGCAGATTTCATAAAATATTTAGCTTTGGAGGAGGAATTCTGGAAGCATAAATCTGGAATGTCATGGTTCAAAGATGCATATAGGAACACAAAGTTTTTTCATGCTCAAGTCAATGGAAGAAGGAAAAGGTTGGAATTGAAGAGAATTCAAAATAGCGAGGGCACTTAGATTGAAGATACAGCAGCTATGGCAGATGAAGCTATGAAATTTTTTAAAGCTCAATTTCATGAAGATAAGGTTCCTGAAGCATTTGGGATACTGCATCATGTGCCACATATGGTGAATAATGAATAGAATAAAATACTCATGAGGCAGTCTACCAAAGATGAAGTGCAAGAGGCAGTGTTTGGGCTCAATGGGGACAGTGCATGGGGACCTGATGGTTTCACTAGGTGTTTATTCCACACATGTTGGGATATAGTCAGAGATGATGCGTATGACATGGTTAGAGCTTTCTTCAATAGGCTCAATTTACCAAAGTTTGTGACTCACACAAATTTGGTATTATTACCTAAGAAGAAAGAGGTTAATACTTATTCTGATATGCGACCAATTAGCCTTAGCAATTTTAAAAATAAAGTCTTCTCGAGGGTTATTCATGAGAGGCTAGCTGGTATACTTCCTAATCTAATATCAGACGAGCAGGCGGGTTTTGTTAAAGGGAGAAGCATCGTTGAGAATGTGTTGCTAAGTCAAGAAATAATCGCAGATATTAGAATGAGGACAAAAGCAGGGCCTAATGTTGTGATGAAATTAGACATGACTAAAGCCTCCTATGATCGATTATCTTGGCTTTTCCTGACTAAGGTTCTGATGAAGATGGGATTTGGAGAAAGATTCATAGGTTTGGTTTTTGGCATCATCTCAAACAATTGGTATTCTATGTTGTTAAATGGGCAGCCTTATGGATTCTTCAAGTCGACTAGAGGAGTGAAACAAGGAGATCCAGTATCTCCTACTCTCTTTATCCTGGCAGCTGAAGCACTATCAAGAGGTTTGAATGCACTTCATTTGAATTTGTACTTTTGTGGATTTGGATTGCATAAATAGAATCCAAAATTCAACCATCTCGCATACACCGATGACACTATTATCTTTTCCTCCTATGATGCTACATCTTTGCAATTGATAATGGAAGTGTTATCTGTGTATGAAGTTGCTTCTGGTCAGCTAATTAATAAATCTAAATCTACGGTTTATATGCATCATTCTGCACCTGAGAGAGTAGTGAACAAGGTTTAAAGGATAACTGGCATCAGTAGGCAAGATTTTCCATTTATATATCTTGGTCGTCCTATATTCTACACTAGAAGAAAAATGGATCATTATCAAGGTCTCATCACCAAAGTCATGGATAAGCTACAATCTTGGAAAGGAAAGTTGTTATCAATTGGAGGTACAGCTATATTGATTTCACATGTTTTACAAAGTATGTCAATCCACTTGATGTCAGTTGTCAATCCCCCTCCCTATATTATAAACAAGCTTCACAAGATGTTTGCTCAATTTGTTTGGAGTAGTATTGTGGGTGAAAAGAGTAGACAATGGACGATTTGGGACAAATTGTGCCTGCCATGTGAAGAGGGAGGATTAGGTTTTCGATCACTGCATGATGTCTCCAAAGCTTTATTTTGTAAGTTATGGTGGAACTCTAGAACAAAACCTAGCTTATGAAGTTCATTCATGATTCAAAAGTACTGTAAGAAGCTCAATCTTATTATTGTTCCTTGGCGATATGGATCACATATATGGAAGAAGATGTTAGAATGTAGAGATCTTGTCGAACATCAAATTGGATGGCATTTAAAAATGGGATCGTCTCACTTTTGGCATGAAAACTGGACAGGGCTTGGAGTTTTATATTTTGTCGTACCTCCAGAATTTGTCATTGATGATTCTATCAATAATGTATATGAGGTGGTGCATGATTGTGTATGGGATGTTGATAGATTGATGGACGTTTTGCCTGAGGAGTTAGCAGTATATATACTGGAGAATATTAAACCCCCAGCTGTTATTGATGTGCTAGACAAAACATACTGGATGTTGGAATCAAGAGGAGATTTTACTGTGAAATCTGGTTGGGAGTTTTTGAAGAGAAGGAATGATCCTGCGATGTCATACAGTAAAATGTGGGTAAAGGGATTTCCTTTTAAAATATCTTTCTTCTTGTGGAAGGTTTGGAAAGCAAAGTTGCATCTAGATGATTGGATGAGACGGTTGGGATATTTTATGCCATCGAAATGTTGGTGTTGTGTTCAAGAGCAGGAATCACTGCCTCATCTGTTTTTTTACATCAGTTGCAGCTACAAAAGTATGGACTTATTTCCTAACAAATGCAGGAATAAGTATGGAAGGTTTGACAGTACACCAGGCAATTGTTAGATGTTGGACATCAAAAGTTATACCACGACTGCAGCCTATTCTACAAGCATCACATGCAATCATTGTGTGTGAGTTATGAAAAAGAAGGAACAGTCAGAAATATGGTGAGGTGGTGACAATTAGTCGAGTTATAAATCAGGTTTCTACTACCGTACAGTCACTTGTCAAAGTAAGGAAACCTACTCTGCAAAATGTGCCTCACAAATGGCCTGACTTAATACAAAAATTGGAGTAATATACTCCAGTTACGAACGTAACAAAAGTAATCTGGGAATTCCCTACTGAAGGATGGATCAAGGTCAATACAGATGGTGCGAGTAGGGGAAATCCTTGAAGGAGTTCCATAGGCTATGTGCTGAGAGAAGAGGAAGGAGATGTAATTTTTGCACTAGGAAGGGAGATACCACAAACTACAAATAATGAGGCAGAGGCTATTGCAATTCTGGAGGCAATGAGATACTGCGTTGACCATCGAGTAACGCATGTTATGCTGCAAACAAATTCCATGATCTTAAAGAATGTATTAGAAGAAAAGTGGGTAGCCCCTTGGAATGTGAATGAGTATGTTAAGGAGATCAAAATGCTAATGGAGGAATGCAATTTTCGAGTTTCTCATACTCTAAGGGAAGGAAATAGTCTAGCAGATCACTTAGCCAATTGTGCATTAGATAGTGGGGATATTGAGGCTCATTGTTTTGCACAACTTGACTCACAAGGTAGAAGGATTGTGAATTCAGATAAATTGCAATGTCCTTATTTAAGGGTGAAGGCTGCCAAGAACTAGACGGGAAACAGATGGATATCAAAGAGATGAAAGGAAATCAATAGGAATACTGTGATCAAATCTGTAGAAAGGAGATCAAAGTGCACTATTTTTTCACTAACATCGTGTTCTTTTTTGCAGGGATCATTACTGTAAACATGCCTCACCAACTGACTAAACCTCTATGGGTGGTATTAGCACTATGTGCTCATTTCCAAGTAGTGAAATCAGTGGTGACCACAAGCATGAAAGCATGGAGAGTCTCCAGTGGTCTAAGGAAGGAAATTAGGGTTTGGAATTTTGATTTTCGAACATCTGATATAAGCAGTAGTACCTGCTACAGGAAGGTACAAAGAAGGAATTTGCACCACTGGAGATGCAAGAGAAGGCTACCCAGATTTTTGGTGCATGGCAGGATCATTGGTTGGCATCAACAAAAAGTGAAGGTATTGGGAAATCATCTCAGTACATTCCAAGAATGGTGTCACACAATAAATACAACAACACACAGCTGGAGTAGGAGGAATTCTGGGAACACACTCGATCATCATGCTCAAATCCATATGGAGGAGAGAAGTATAGAAGAGGAGACAACTGAAGCTTACACAAGTGATCACCATGCTCAAATCCTTATGGAGGAGAACATGGTGATGAGATTGTTTACTAACAATGTTTTCTTTTTTGTAGGAAAAGCTATTGTCCCTATGCCCTACTATGTGATGGACTCTCAGTTAGTAGTATTAGTGCAATGCACTCATTCAACTGGGAGGAAGTTAATGGTAGGCAAAAGCATAGATTTAACGAAGCATACGATGCTGCCATCTGATTTATGCAGGTACTGTTGGCAATTAAATACAAGAGCATTTGAGGTGTTTAGTGTGTGCAGATCAACACCTCAATATCACCCTAACAAACAGGAATTTCCTACCAAACAAAAGGAGAGATGCAACTATCAAATGATGGATATGAATACAATACAGTTTCACTTTCACCCCATAAGAAATACTCAGGAGGAACAACAACTACTGCCTAGGTGCTCGATGATCAGTCGTGACATGCGAGTTTGAAGGTGACGCAATGATACGCACAAGCATGGAGCTGGAGAATATCAATGGATTATTGAGGACGGCAAGGATCACAATGGCAAAGTTTTTGTGCCTTATCGACCAGCTCACATATAGTGCATTGATGCAGTACCGGACAGTGCAGCTGAATGCTTATAGATACGAGGCAGTGCTTTTCAAAGGATCCTACAGGGGAATTGCAGCGTACTAAATGGAGCAGCATAGCACAAATAACAAATAGGATGTACAAGGCGGATATTTTGGGAGGGATTGCAGGGTTAAACATAAGGATCATGTCCAAAATATTGACGCAAAAATGCAAAAGGAGCTGGTGTTGGGCAGTATTGGAGACATTCTTTTTGGCTTTGCTTTGTTACAGACAGTTGCAGTGGATCACAAGGTGCTTCAGCTGGTACAATTTACAGCACGAAGGAAATAATGATCGTTGCATCTTGAGCTCATCAACACGAATCTTGATAATGCAAGATACTAAATTACTTACCCCAAGCAAGGAACACTGCTCAGGCAGCGTTAATGGGCAGGGTAATTGTTTGAGGATAACACCACTTCCACAGGCCGAGACTTTTATTCATCATGTGTATTATTTATTTTCATATCAGTTTTTAATTACTTCAAAATGTACTACCATAATTGGGTATCTATTACTCAATATTGGTACTGGAAGTTATGTTATCATCAAGTCTATAGTAGATAAACTAGGAAAGACATTACAAGTTTATGTAATTTATTTATTTTATTTATATATAAAAACTAGCCCTAGGCACCTTGCCTAGTGGATTGCAAAAAATAAAAGTAGGCCTAGGCCAGTTTTGAACTGCCTCAATCTTCTTAGGATCCACCTTTATGCCTTATGCCGATACAACATGCCCAAAAAAGGCAACTGAGTTTAACCAAAACTCGTATTTTGAAAATTTGGCATATAAACTGATTATTCT